GAAGACTCGATCTGAAGTCCTTCATTACGAGGCAACCGAGTTTTTTCTACATCAAGTCTATGCGTAACATCAGAAAAAATCTGTTAACATTTGGTCAGCTACGATTTCAAACTCACGCCCCCTCATGTGAGCCCATACAAATTATGTCTCAAAAGCACAGTTTTTGGATCTTTTCTTACAATAATGACTATCTAGTCAAAAAACAGAAGTGGATTCAGTTAATTCAGCTATTCACGAACTGTATTATATGGTTTAGATTGAATTCTATTGAAAAACACCACTGTACTTTTTGAGTTGAATGTACGCTATTGGATGTATTTTACTTATTCATAGGAATTTGTTAAAAGTTAGAACTGTATTTTTGCTGATTTTATACGCTCATACTATCTGTTGGTCTATACATTCGCCTCTTATCTTTTCTTAGGTTTCGTAGCCTCGAAAACACGCTAGTACAGTAGTTAACGAAAGAACAGAAGATTTACGGGTCATTTAGGATGTTTTGTCACGCAGTTTACTTGTGCTATATAACTTTACTTTCTAAGAACAACCTTTTGCTTTGGAAAGAGAGAAAAAGACCGAAAAGAGCAAATATTCCAAATGTATGGGCAATTTTTTCTAATGTCCATAACTGACGATTGAAAAATGAGAACGTTGCACTGATTGTGCGATATTGGGGACCGCGATCATTATTATTTATAACACGGGGTCGGAGGATTCGGGGGGGGGGGGGATCACATGGTTTTTAGAAGACTGGAGGGGGGATCAGAGCTACATTGACTGATCATTCAGTAGTTATCACTAATAGAGGCTTTGCGATTACGTGACGGCAGCCATGTTATATGGCAGGAACAATACAATCGTATTAAACTACGAGGACCGGAAAATCGCTAAATCGAACGTAAAAAAAAAAAAAACAGCTCAAAATAACGTTCACTGATTTATAGCTGACGGAGTTCTGTTTTACCCGACTTAAGGCGGTGCCAACTTGTCCTAATTAGAGCTTTTGCTTTTTAATTCAATTATTACTTAATACTGCTTTCAATAAATACAATAATATATTAAATCGGGAGTTTGTGTAATGGTAGCCGAAATCGCCTCTAACGTCTGGCGTCTGGGGTTTGATTTCCAGACTCGGCAACGCTTGTGAGTGACTTTGATCAGACCATAGGTTGTTTCAGGGTTTGATCTGATTACCCGTGCAACGACTTTGATCAGCCCAGAGGTTGTTTTAGGGGTTGATTTGATTACCTGTGCCCTGACTTTGATCAGCCCAGACGTTTTTTCAGGCCGGTATCAGGTCATTTGTTTTAAAAAGACAGAATGTTTAGAGATTTTCCGAAGAATTGAAAAACTAAATTTAAAAAATCAACCTGGGTGCGGTACGTGAGGCTCGAACTAATTAATTTTAAAGCAAAAATTATGTGCTACTATGCCATAATCTTCCCTAGTGTTGAGACTCTTTCTATTGTTTTCCACCCGGACCAATCAGAATGCTCAAAAGAAACGATAGCCGCAGAGCCTCTTGCTTCTCTGCACTGACAAAGAGAAACGCAAGCTCGGGAGACGAGATTGCGTGCGCACGTGATGGTGCAAAACCTCTATTACCGGTTATGGAAGCCCTGACGCTAAAAAAACGCATATGGCTATTAGCTTCACTATAGATAACAGATCCATGTGTTGAATACTTATAATCTTTGAAACAAACGGCAAAAATGTTTTTGAGCAAAACAAAAATACTAAGATTTCCATTCCAATGCATCTTAAATGCATTTTTTTAAACAATGACCAGCGGTCGGTTGCCTGGTTACTAATCTCCAAGGCAATATCCAACCGCTGAACAATAGACAGGATATTTATAGTGGATATGAAACTGATGCGTGCGCATCTCTCTCTCTCTCTGCCTGTCTGTGTATGTATGTCTGTCTGTCTGACTTTCCTTTCTAATATAGCTGATACGGTTTTCTTTATTTAGAACGATAACCACTAGCTCGTTAATCTACCCTGTTTAATAACAATTTTTTCTATTCTTTAAGATGCTCTTTGCGGTAGGAATGGGATATTTATGGGACGCCACAAGCGATTAACTTGGAACTTAAGGCAAAAATATTGAGAGGGTTTGATTATAATGCTATTACTTTGTATAAAGTACGAGCAATTTTCAGTTATTTGCCCCTGGCCATGCTTTAATGTTTTCGGATCGAAAATTAAAATTAAGATGGGATTTGTCATTGGGCTGTTGATATGATAGCTTTGATTTTTCTTTACCAGTTCGTTTTATAGTGAATCCTGAGTGAATCCAAGGAAAGAATAATAGAAGGAAAGAAAGGAAGAATGAAAGTAAGAACAAAGAGAAAGGATTGAAGGAAGGAAAGAAGGGAGGGAAGAGTGAAATAAGAAAGGAAGGATGGAAGGAAGGATGGAAGGAGGGAAGGAAGGAGGGAAGGAAGGAAGAAAGGAAGAAAGGAAGGATGGAAGGAAGGAAGGGATAGGGAGGAAGGAAGGAAGGA